ATTGATTTACAAAATATGATTAGCTTTTTTTTTTCTTTTTTGTGGTAACAAGTTACCAAAAATCGTCGCCACAAATGGCATGCAGGGGGAGACGCTTGGGTTAAAATTATTGTAATGAGCCGTCGCAGAGCGTCGCCGCGAAGCTGCGTAGACGGGTCTACCGGCCGGTGACACTCCCGCGAAAAAAAGTAGTAGATATTCTGCCGCCGGCACAATAGCCCTGAAAAACAAATGCCGGCAGTTGCGTCCTATTGGGTCGTGAAAACAACTATTTTAAGCTGTAGAGTAACTCCCTAGTAAGGTGCCCGTCTCTTATCCGGCGGGACCCTGGTTTAATCGTCAGTGTGGGATTACTTTTCTTTTTTTCCTAGGCATATGGCGATACCTACGGCATTTCTTTTTCACGATTAACACTGAAAAAAAAAATAAAGTTGTCAACGAAACTTTATCAGACTCCCTTTCGGGCGGTACGAGGTAAGCAGAGCGAGGTAAGCGGTGGAACATTCCGCACCTCGTGACATCGTCTCTTGTTGATTTATTTACGTGAATTTGTTCGTTTATATCTTTGAGGCTGGCACATCCAGGGACGTCTTTAGAGGCGCTCCGTACGTATTGCATCTCGTGTCTGAACATGCTCAAATAAACAGTTCGTACCAAACCTGTGTTTTAGTTGCTTCCTTCCTTCCTACTTGCTTGATAGCAATTTGCCTTCGCAATAATACAAAAAAAAATACTTTTTTTTTCTTTTTTTTGGGTGGGGTGGGGGGGTATTCAACGTTTTCCCACAACGGCTATGGAACGTAATTTGGAAAGGTTTCTCGACGTTCTGTGAACGTCGTTGGTAGTCCGGATGTCGTAAACACACATATCATAAACGTCGAGGGAGGACGCAACGGCCCACTGAGACGTGCATGTGACGTGCAACAAACGTCATTTGGAACGTCCCCTCGACCTTCTGTGCACCTTTTCTCGCGGACATTTAAAGGTTTCATTGACGTCGAAGGAAGGTGACGTCCGGACCTTCGACGTTTTACGACGTCACGTTACAGACGTCTTCGACGTTCTTTCGACGTTTTCTTCACGTTTATGTGCTGCTTGGGCATCTGCAGTAAAAAAGAAAAAAGGTCGTGGGTTCTTTTCGCTTTATATTGCCTAAGCAGGCTAAAAAAATCGGATGGTCGCGAGTCTATAGCTCGGGAGACATACGTCCCTCTATAGCCGGCTAAAGCACATTGAAAGTTCGGAGGCCTATAGCTTTGGTGACATAAAACACTATAGAGACGGCTAAAGAAAATTCGACGGTCTCGAGCCTATAGATTTAGGGACATACACCACTCTATAGCGGGCTAAAGAACATTGAAAGGTCGGAGGCTTATAACTTTGGTGACATAAAACACTATAGAGTCGGCTAAAGAAAATTCAATGGTCGCGATTCTATAGATATAGTGACATAAACCATTCTATAGCCGGCTAAAGAGTATTCAATAGTCGCGAATCTATAGCATTAAGGACATACATATTTCTATAGCTCGTTAAAGAATGTTGAATAGCCGCGAGTCTATAGCTGCATAGTCATAAATTATTCTATAGCCAGGTATAGAAACCGGTATGGCTGAGATTCTATAGCTTTGAAGGCATACAATTTTCTATAGGTGGCTATAGCGTGTTTTATGGTTCCTTATGGCTGACCATAGAGGGCCATATGAGGTGATAGCTCGCCATAGGATTTTCCATAGACGTCCATAGATCATTTTTGTATGGGATTCCAGTGCTTGGCGCATCTCCCGCGCAGCATCGCAACCTTTTTGGCGCCTGATAGGCCTAGAGAGCCCGTAGCATCTGCTGCGGTTCATTCTAAGTTGAAGCAGAGTATCCGCGAAGTACGTGAATCGTTGCGACGATGCGTGATGTTGAAAACTACACAGAGAAAAATTATCTCGCAGGTTTTTCCAGTTTCAGATGCGGCGATTTGAGACATGAATGCTGTAAATGTCATCGAGGAATCAATTTGTTGACTCTATTATTGGGTTCATTCGGCTCGCACTCTACACTCATGAACTGATCTTTTGATTTTCGAGGCTTGCATTTTCTAGAGAGCTTCGTGACAACGCCAGTAGTTTCTTGGCGCACCGAATCCTGCAAAGCCAATAAACTCTACTCAAAATCACTTCGTTGTACTTCCGTGGGATGCTGAGGCCAGTGATTACAGTCCCGCGTGACAAATCTTTTTTTCTTTTTTTTTTGTGACCGCTAGCTTGTTTACCTTGGTCGGCTCGGACCAAAAAGAGACAAAAGACGCAAAGAAAATCCCTTCCCTGGCAGTTCCGTGTAATTCCGGTCCCCGGGATATGCAGTGAGACGCCACGCTGGCAGTTCACCGAATTCCCTGAGCAGTCCCGGTCCAGTCTAGTATGGCCAAGGCCAAATTTTGGCCCCATCGCTAGTCTAAGCAAGTGTGCTGCCTGGGGTGTACCATGTTCTAAACTTCTTCATCAGGAATCTATTCAAAATACAACTTTTCAATTGACACCTTTTCCCTCAAATAAGTATTTAATAATTAAAGTTTGCCAATCAGTTTTAATTCATGAATAACTTATTTAGTTACAGCGTCTTCCTAGCAGCCTTTTTATCAAGACGCCTTCTGGCAACAGTGATCTTCATTGCCTAGAGTACTTCATTCGTTTTTAAAGCTCTGTTCTGGAAAACGAGGCACCCTGATACCTTGCGCCAACACATTTTCAATGTTGGTAACCCATTGGCTAAGACAGGCCAACGTTGGTCAGCCTAAGCTAATCGATTACCAATGTTGGTAAGACATTGGCTAAGACAGGCCACTGTTGGCCAGACTAAGCCAATCAATTACCAACGTTGGTAGGCCACTGGCTAAGACAGGCAATTGGTGGCCAGATTAAACTAATCGATTGCCAACGTTGGTAACCCATTGGCTCTATTACAGTTTATATTTCTGCGGGCGTTGTCTCTACCGTAGTCATTACTGCTGTTGCCGTATTTCGTACGCACTTTGATGTCATTTTAGGCAAGCAGATTTAATGCTCAGCTCCTTCTGTTATATGTTGCGTGATAACCTTTCTTTGCAGATTGAAATGCGCATCAACTTTATGTCACCTCCTACCTCAGAAATAGGGTGTTCGAGATGTTAATTCAACGCGATTTTTATTCGTGAAGACATGTAATTGCTTAATCAATCGCTGGATATTTGTTTAAGGTTTTATTTTGGTGCTAAAAATATAAATGCTTTTTATTTATATTTAATTTTGTCCGCTTCCGTCTGAATTATAGGCCGTGTTTTGCGGCTCAGCGAAGCGGGTTGCTTTGAGATTTTCAAGACCAGATACAGCTGACAATACACACGTGTCCACGGTACTGGGGAGGCGGGTGGAGCTTTCGAGGTTGAACCCTGCCTTCTCCACCCCCCCCCCCCCCCCTTTTGGAAAGGTTTCCCGGCTGCGTCGCTGAATGGGCATAAGAGAAGAGGCACTATGCTTTTTGCCGTATAGACATATACACAAATCGAAGGAAGCGTGCATTTTGTATTTCGTGTGGAATTTACTGAGCATAACTATCAGTTTTGGGAAGACGCGTGTTAGTTATAGTCGGTGGCAGGTGGTAGAAGCTCCTCCCATCTCTTTCCATATTTGTAGATCGAAAGATCGGGAGGAGGCGACCTCCTCCGCAGCGTTTGCTTTTAACCTGTCACCGACTGCGTTTTTTTTCTTCGCGGACGTTCAAAATTGCTACGGCTCGCAATGCATACAGCGTTCTAACTCAATAGCTAACTTGCTCTGCGTGTGAAAACAGAAGAATCGTCCCCCCAGAGCCATAGATACAGACTGTTGTCAGCGTGCGCGATCAGGACAATAAAAGAACTAAGCCAATTAATTATAACATTGGTAAGCCACTGGCTAAGACAGGCCAATGTTGCCCAGCCTAAGTCAATCGATTACCAATGTTGGTAATCGATTGGCTTAGGCTGGCCAACATTGGCCTGTCTTAGATAGTCGATAACCAATGTTGACAACTCAATGGTTAACATAGACCAATGTTGGCCAACCTAAGCCCATATATTACCAATGTTCGTAACCAATTGGCTAAGACAGGCCAATGTTGGCCAACCAAAGCCTACCGATTGCCAACGTTGCTAAGCCGTTGGCTGAGATTGGCCAATGTTGGCCAGTCTAAGCCAGTCGATTGCCAACGTTGGTAAGCCATTGGGTGAGATAGGCCAATGTTGGCTAGCCTAAGCCAATCGATTACCAACGTTGGTGAGCCGTTGGTAAAGTCAGGCCAACGTTGGGCAGTATATTCCAGCGTACTACCAATATTGGTTATACGATGGCCACATTGGCCCAACATTGGAGCAATGTTTGCCAATCAAATGCCAATGTTGGCCCGACGTCGTGTGCTGTGTGGGAGATGTTTCGGCATCGTCATTCGCTGAGCTGCCTCCGTGAGTTGCCGTGATTGGCTCTCCGAGTGCTGTGCGTGAAAGTATACGCACAGACTTTTTTTAGAGTGTACGCACCGCCGAAAAACAGTTCGCAAAATAAAATATGCCGGAATTATTATGCCAGGACTCCCTAAACAACATTGAAGATAATGCCGGTGCTCCTTCTTTGCAGGTTTGAAAATGTAGATTCTCCTAGAGTAACCCACAGCCTAAGAAACGCGAGGCGTCGACTATTATGTTCACGCCCCTTGCTTCGTGATTAAACCTTCGGACTTCTTATTTTCCGAATGTCGCAATCTCATTGGCTAAGAAGCAATAACCAGATGGCGAAATCTGAATCCCGCAATCTCTTCGGCTAAGGAGGGATAATGAAATGCACGGGACTTTCGACACCCCGCGCATCTCACGTGTTAGGTTGCTATGCGTTTTCATGCCGTGCAGTACATCAAGGTTTTCGCGTCTACACCTTTAGCAACTAACGTTCGGTGAACATCAACATCAGCATTCGCTTCTGCCGTCACGATTTCTGCAGACATGCTGAGTTTCGGAATGTACGGCATGCCGCTGGTGGGTGCGGACATCTGCGGCTTCAACTCCAACACCACGGTGGAACTGTGTGCGCGCTGGCAGGCCCTGGGTGCCTTCTACCCCTTCTCCAGAAACCACAACACCGATGACGGCTTGGTAAGCGGTGCGCAGTTGAAAAGAAATAATACGGAAACATGTCTCTCCTCAGTACATGATGAGGGGCTGCACACTACTAATATCTGTGTTTGTTCTGTATTTTTTGGCTAAAGCGCGTAACACGGATGAACTCGAAAGCGAGCTGCATTCCTGTTTGCGTCGTTGAAATTGCGCTCGCTCTTACAACTGGCATGAGAAATAATTTGGTGGTTTCTTATTCTTGACGGCCTAAATGTAAGGTAAAGGACGAGGGAAAAGAAGGTAACAAGCGCGAAGTGTAGTCGCTCGGGGACTCTAAGGGACCGTGTTTGAAAAAAAAAGTAGAGTGTTAATAGTAGGAAGGTGTTATTGGCGTATTCTGAGAGATAAATCAGATATTGAACGATTGGCTTGCATTGGGAGATGCAATTAACTGGAAAACGCGTAGTCACGTTGGTTTACTTAAATATATTGAACTGGATAAGAACAACAGGGCGTAAGCAGACGGGCTGGAAATGGTGCACTATATCATACAGTGTTTTTTTTTTTATTTGTTTTTGAGTTTTTATCGGGTCATGCGATATCCTCTTTAGCGTTCGATGAAATTAGAAGATACGGGATGGACACGCATTTTTCGTCGTTTTGTAGCTGATGAAGAGCTACGAGTCTTCGTAGCACTTCGTCTTACAGCTATGAAGACGACTTCGTAGCTCTAAGACTACGAAGTCGACTCAGAGCTATTTACTAGGTTGAAAATATTTTAATGCCTCTGAAGTCGATTATGCTTCGTAGAAAAATAAAGCACCGCTCAAGTTAACATAGAACAAACAACACATCGGGGAATGGACGACTTCAACATATGGGTGTTCACAGGGTGGATGTTTGGAAATGTTCAATTTATGATTAGAAAGTAGGAATCTATAAGTTTCGTATTTCTCAATGTAAGCTTACTTTATTTTTTACTTTGTGGTGCATTTACTTTCCAACTGGTGTCCCCCCAAGTCAATCCCTCAATCACGGCGACCGAAACAGGAATTTCCGCGATTGAGGAAAACGAAAATTTATTTAGCTTTAAAATTAAGTATGTGAAATGACCCTCGACATGACGTTTACGCTCTTAAAAATAGAGGTAATAGTATTTGCTAGGTAAAAGCTAGTAACTGCTTGTCACATACGTTAGGCGGCACCTAGTAGCCGTAGCTAGTAACGATTACTAGGAAATAAGCTAGTAACGGTAACTCAACAAGCAAGTATCTTTAACTATATTTAGCTAAAAACTGGCACTAACTCTCACAACACCTAGTAACCGCTACCCGAACCCAAGTGGCGCGACTAAACGTCAAACTGAAAATTGTAAAGTAAAACATTACAAGAACATTCGTTGGTAGATTCTTAGGGAATGAGTTCACATGACCCTCGAAGCGCCACGCACATCCCTTTTTGGGAAACCCTAAAGCTGTCCAATTGACTTCTCTCTCTTGGCTTTCTCCTCTGCTTCATCTATTTCTTGCTGCCTCTTACTTTCGCGTGTTCCGAGGGGTGACGCATGTGGCGTTTCCCAAGTGTCATGATGACGCATTTTCTAAGAATATACAAATGGATATTACTGTAATTACTTTCACTCCTTTTTGTACAGTACGCCGAAGCCGTTGGATACAGTCATCCATATCACCATGTGGATAAAACCGCATACATACAACTCGTGGAAGGATCCGCATTCATATCACTCGGGGGGGGGACCGCATCTATAGTTTTAATTACACACACACACATCACAGCCCACGCACCGCTACTAGGAAACCCGGCGGCGGCGCAGCGGTAACTAAACATGCCCGCATACCGCCGCGCCGCGGTGCACTGCCCCTTCTTTCTCGCTCCGCGCCAGCTGTGTGCGTGACTACGGAAAACGAAAGGGTTCGTTTTGACGAAAACCCGGTTTTGTCTTGCAGTTTGTCAGCGCCAGGGATAGGAGGAGAGGTTGATGCGCGCTGGTGTCAACGCTTCGGATGAACGAGAGTGTCGTACGCGTCACCTTCTCCCCCTCCTTCTCCCTCTCTCTCCGGCACTCACAAACAAAGGACACTCCGGGCTTTTGTGAAAACGATCCAGTGTCCTAATGCTAACGCATAAAAAGTATTTTCGCTGGGGTAGATTTTTTCCAACGCTGCAAACATGCAGATTTGCACACCTATTATACATTTACCTCAAATAAGTAATTCGAACACAGATGACACACACCCACAACAGGCACACGACGACACGCTAACCTTATTGCTGTCCCTTAGGCTACCCATGCCTCTTTTATACTAATCTTTTGGAAGAAATCGGTTAGTCAATGGCCACCTCGTTCATGAGCGATGTTACACATATGGTGCTACTTTCGCAGCAATATTCTCATCCAATATTTTCGGTAAATATTTCAAGAAATACATATTTTACGAAGAAGTGGCGGTACAAACATTAATTATTAGCGAGAGTGTGTAAAACAGCGTCCCTATACGTTCTCGCATCCCCGCAAAGCAGCTGCAGTTACTACCTATCGCGCGTTTGAGGTAGCAAAGAAGGAAGATGTAGTAACGCTCAGAAAAATTTCGGAACTGCTGCAGTTACTAGCGTTTTATTATCTTTTTTTCTAAAAGTGTATTGCACTCGCGACGTGTTATGTCACATCGCAGACTTTATTTTTACATCCAAGCGTATTTTTGCCTTTTCGTTCGCCAAGACACCTGCTCTTCAACCGCTGTGAACGGCTTTCTTAAGATTTGTGAAAACGCGAGACAGAGTCAAAAAGTAACCACAATTTAGTCGTGAAAAAAAATAATAATAATATACTGCTGCGCTGCAAATATGCTTTGACGCACCCCAAGAGGGAGCTGTGTACGCCAGCTTGGCGACCTTTCACGTAAACACAGTATGTCCAAAATGGCCGCCCCCTTGTTAACATGTACCAAGGACGAGCAGCGTTCGGTTATTCGATTTTTGGGCGCAGAGGGCGAGAAACCTGCGGATATTCTTCGCAGTCTGCTATAGCAGTGCAGAGACGCCTGCGTATTCTTTGCCAGGTGCACGAGTGGCACAAAAAGTTACGAAGTTGAGCGTCCACCTTGACGGACGCACCTCGCTGCGGCTGGGATCCTTCAATGACACAGGACTCAATCTCTGCTGTGGAACGGCCCAAACACGAGAACCGGCGTGTCACCAGAAATGAAGTGACTAACTAATTGTATATTAGTCACGGAGCGACGCATTATGTCAATCATGATGTTCAGCAGCTCAACAAAGTATTCGCCAGGTGGGTACCAAAACAACTTAACCCGGACCTTAAGGAGCAGTGTGCGTATGCTTGTGAGTCGCTACTGCAGCGCTACGGAGTCTAGAAAGATGATTTTCTTCAACGAATTATCACCGGCGGCGAATGTTGGATAGACTACGCCCAGCCTGAGACAACGCGAGCAAGCAAGGAGTGGTGACACACAACGCCAACAAGACCGAAGAACTTTAAGACAGCGCCAACGGAGGGCAAGTTAATTTTCACGGTTTTTTGGGACTGTAACGGCACAATACTTGAGCATTACATTCCCAAGGAGCTCACTGCGAACAGCGTGTCACACGGCAACCTGCTTGAGAACCACTTGAAACCTGAAATCAGGTCAAAGCTTTGCGCAATGCTCAGCTCAGGGATGTTGCTGCAGCACGACAATTAGCGCCCTCACACGGCACGTACGACAGCGGAAACAAAATGAAAGGAATGCTGTTCGAGTGTATTGCGCACGAACCATACTCACCAGACTTCGCACCGAGGGATCTTTACTTATTCGGACCTCTCAAAGGGGCTCTCGAGGGAAAGAAGTTTGATACAGATGATGACCTAAAGCAGCGGTGCATTACTGGCTCCGAAGTCAGCCACAATAGTTCTTTTTCCGCGGCATCGATGAACTGGTGGAACATTGGTGCACATGTGTCGAGCAAAGAGGTGACTATGCCGAAAACTAATAAAGGGCTTTCCACAATATCTATATTTTCACGCAAATAAACACGAAAAATTGCAGTTACTTTTTGACACTGCTTCGTATAAACACCTGGCCATTTGTTTAGATAGTAGACGCCCTCAGAGCGTATATCGCTCAAAAGAAGCATCCTTAGTCATTGGGTTTTGAACACTTGACCGTCGTCTTCTGTTCAACAGGAGAGAGTTACTTAGCATGCTCAGAACACGCTCCACGGACAAGCAGAAACATAGTACTGGAAAAAATAGTATATAAGATTACTTTTACTTGAAATTCCTTGACGGAAATCATTGTATTCCTACGTTGCGGCTTGTGGCTTCAGCGGCAGTAAACGCAAAGCTTTCTCCATTTATATTTACAAGTCCCATCGACAGCACATACAAAACATGAGTAGAAGGCTCTTTCTCGTTTTTAAAGCTTTCAAGAAAAAGCATCATTAAATCTTGAACAAGCATAAACCGAATATAACCGTTCTCTCGCTATAACTAAATGTTGGTGTCTGTTTGGGAATGCCGTAAAAAACCGAGTAGAATGCTGTTGTAGAGTGATTGAAGTCGCTTGTTTCTCGCAGGACCAAGACCCTTACAGCATGGGCCCCCTAGTGGTGGATGCTGCCCGGAGCACCCTGCTGGGGCGGTACACGCTGCTGCCGTATCTCTACACGCTGTTCTACAGAAGTCACACAATCGGCGAGACTGTCGCGAGGCCTCTCTTCTTTGAGTACGCAGAGCCCGTCCTTCCTTCTGTAACGCCACTACCGCAATTTCATGGTTATAATTAAGGGGTCGTGTTCTCTTTACATGCACATAAGACTCGAAAATCAGCACCAATATTCGTTTTCTCAAAATCTAAAAACAAAGGATAAAAAAAAAAACACTCCTGGGATTTTCTTTAGATTAGAAAAAGGCGTTTTCAGAAGTTTATTTTTTTAAACCCTAAACACACACGAGCGCGTGGCGCGTTAATAGAAACGAGTTACCTCTATGTAGCTAATTTTCTTTGGTAACGAGTAATGTCATCAGTTGCATTTCTAAAAAAAAGAGCGAGTAACGTAGTTGGTTACTTTAAAAGCCAAGTACTGAGTAACGGTATTTAGTTAATTTGAAAGAGTTCTAACCTTAACATGCGTCGATTGTGACAAAGGCAGATGAGCAGCCCGAAAAACAACTCGCAGCTTTTATCGCTGAACACGCCAGTCGAACTCTACAGCTGGGAATGTCGCTCACATAGAGAACACAATAAGGTACGTGGGTTAAACCTTCTAGAATCGTGTACAAGCCGAATGTAAACTCGAATATTGCCAACGCGGAAAGGCACAAAACCCATTGTCAATTTCGAACTTTAGAACCAGAGAAAACGCAGGAGAGAGTAGAATCTCATTTTCACCAGCTCTTGCTACAGCACAACTTTTCCGTTTTTTTTTTTTTTTAGAGCGCGTTTTTAGAACGACTCTTCTGCATAGCCAGATATGCATTCCAAGAAAGCGGGAAAGCATAACCGATGAAAACGTCGAGATTAAGCTACTGCTTAAAGGGGCACTAATCAGTAAACATAAATTTTTTTATCATGATCTGCAACGATTGAAAACAATGCCTGTGCATTATTCTCAAAGTTTGGAACATGGGAACAAAGTTTTAAATTCACGATATCCAACAGACCGTTCACGTAAATTATAGTGGTCACTAGGACGCTCTAAGTCGAGAATAGAGTTGTTCAATATCAGAAACTGTGGTTTATTAAAGGTTAAACAATAAACAAACAACTGAGAATACACGTAATGTCGATACATGACAGTATAGTTGAAGAATATTTCTCTGAGTTGACTAACTTTTTGACTGCAGAACACTGAGGAAAGAAGTTATAAACCGTTAAAGAAGAACCAAAACGGCATTCAAGGTTCAATTGCACCTTAAGTGCAACGACTGCAAATAAAATAATGAAACAAAAGCAGTTGTGTATTTGGTCGTCAAAGTAACGAGAAAAGTAGCGCGTTACATTTGATGTAAAGTTTCACGTTCCGTACGAGAACCGGCAACGAGTAACGTTTTCAGCTACTTTTTCAGCGCACAGAGAGTAACGATAATTAGTTAATGATAGTGTAGTGAATGCGCAGGCGAGCTGGTGGATGTTAACGATTTTGTTCTTAGCCCGAGACTGAGGAAGGAAAAGAGGAAAAAGGAGCAGTCGAAGGCAGTCCTCGACTGTTCATTTCTCTTCTACTTTGAAACTTTCCTCTTTTCCTGCCTCAGTCTCGGACTCAGGACAAAGTGGGTAATTAGTTACTTTTTTGTGTAACATGTATCTACAGGTCTGCCTAAACGCAGCCCCCAATAGACCGTCTGTGAGGCTGCTTCTATCGATCGAAGCAATACCTTTTCGTTTATTTTCCAGGCTCTTATGACCAGCGTTACGTTTTTATTTTTTTTGTTTTTTTTTTCACGCGTATTCTCCTATGTGGTGAAGACTCGCGTGTCTTTGTTTTCTCATCTTCTTCATTACCCTCAGCTATGGCGATCTTTTGTCCGGCGGCAAAAATTAACTCCCAAGAATACCGGATCGGCGAGAAAAAAACCAACCACCAGAAAAATGCCCTCGCGTTAATTGAACGGAAATAAACCCCTAATACACGTAACCCTAGTGATAAGCGCGTTTCCAAAGAAAAAGTGTTTTTTGTTGTTTTCGTTATTGTACTTGTGTCACGGATGAAACGCCGTCACACTATAACTCGCTTTTCGATACTTTCTTCAACCCTATTGTCAGTTCACAACTTGTTTACTACATAGTTACAGGTACTTAGTTCGTCTGGTCAGCTAGCTGACGGCGATCACTCAGTATTTTTCAATCAGTTGGCAACTTTATTTTGGGGGGGGGGGGGGGGAGAGGGATGCTAGGATACCTGAGTGGTTTTTAGTTAAAATATTGGAAACATAACAAGAAACTACCCTATCAAGTTTTTGTTTTGATACAGGTGAAATAATACACATATTCTCCGGTAATTTGAAACATGGCTTGCAATATCAAATAATATATCCTGGTTACTATTTTTAGACCATTGATACTCAGTGCCGAAAATTCAACGCAATGTAATAGTGTCTGGGAGTTTTATCACTAAATATTTTGAAATGGCGGTATTCGAAGCAATTTTATAAAAAGAAACAGAGCAGCTTGGCGAAATACAAAACTCAGGGTGTGCACTTGAAAGCAACATTGCGTTTTAGGAAGACTGGAAGCCAGTGAAATATATATATTATTAAGTATTTATTTTAAATTTTAAAATCTTTACATTATAAGAAACTCCCTACCGTGCAATGCATAAACAATGTCAAATGCAGACATATATATGATATTAAACTGTCTCATCTTTGTGCTTAATTTTATATTTGATAGTCAGATCTCACACTAGCGACCTACGTATAATTGCGCTTTAAGCTTGCTTTGATTTCCAAAGACACCATTACCGGTAATACTCACGATTACTTAGCTGAAATATTTACTGATGGTTACGAGCAGTAAGTTACCATCGTTGTAGATATCTATTTGTGTTCTTTAGAAGAAAACACTGCAAACATACTTTGTAAACCAAGAAATAAGAAAGAGAGAAGTACTATGATTGATCAGGCACAACGTGTCAAGCTCTTTGTTTGTGCGGCGAATGTTACAATAGCACGTACTGTTGCAACGTCTGGGACGCTGCCACAACAATAATTTGATATAGATTAAATAACATAAAACACGTATTCTTAAAAAGTTAAACCTCCTTCGCCCCTGTGCTTTCAAATACAAAAAAAAAACTACAAAAAACTTCTTAGGGGTGACGATACGCGACGTTTGTACCTGCAGGTTTCCCGAAGACCCGAACACCTATAGCATCGATGAACAGTTCCTTTGGGGTCCCAGTCTGATGTTCAGCCCTGCGTTATACCCGGTGAGTGCATGAGACGGATTCATTCGTCGCTTCTGCCTCAGGTCACGTGAGATTCTTGGAAATAGATTCATAGAAGCTCTGAAGTAAAATTCTCTCGAATGCCTGGAATGCATGGAATGCTTAAATGCCTCGAATAAATGCAACTGCCACAAAAACATACCTGAAAAAGTGTGTCCATCATATAGGTTGAGGCATTTGTTTCGGATGACATGAAGTGTTTCTTCATACTCACTATATTTGGGGACGACGTGCAAAAATAGAAGCATGTATTGGAATCTCTCCTTACTCAAAGTGAGCCAAAATAAATCAATATATCCCGCTAATTCATTGTTCGCGCAAATATTTTTTTTTGCGGGTACCCTTTATTTTATGCCCTTATATTTTTATTATTTTTTATGTCTTTAGAAACAATTCTGAAATATTCGCATATTTTGGATTGACGTGCCAAATTATCGAAATCTGTCTGGATTAAAATCAAATGTGTCCCGTAACGTAATTATTGCCCGAAAGATTTTTTTTCTGTGGAAATTTATTTTATGACATACGTATCCTATCCTGGCACTTGAGAAACCAACTTTTTCAAGTTCAATGTTTTAGATAAATTCTTTCCAACTATCATAATCTTTTGATATTTAATTTTGTCCAGAACGCCGCCGTGTCTCTATAACTTTTACCACCTAACGGACACTTTCCTGGTGCACAAACGTCTAGTTTAAACGACTAGGCCGAGACTAGATTTGTTGACAGGATGAAATGCCCTATACAGGAACCGCTTGGCAGGACAATATTGAAACAGCTCTTCTAGGTTCTGTTACCTTTTCAGGTTTTCCTATTCCTTTGATTCAGCACTGTATTTCTTTCTTATATTCACAAGATATTTGCCCTTATAGGAGATGGTGCTCCAGGGTCGCCAAAAAAATTGATCTACAGATACGTTTCGAGCCTACCAGGCTCGAAACGTAACTGCAGATCACTTTTCTCGCAACCTTGGACGACCATCTCCTATAAGGGCAAATATTTTGTGAAAATATTTTTCTCGAGTGCCTTCTTTTTATCCACCAGGTGCTGTTCCTATATATATATATATATATATATATATATATATATATATATATATATATATGGGTGGTTTCATCTCAAATCGTGCAGGCAAAAAGGGTCGAATTTTTAGTTTCGATGAAAAACATATATGTTATGGCGCCGTTTTTAAAAACGCAGTCGCCGCAGACCGCAAGTTCGTCGGATTTTTTGTTCGCGACTTATGAATTTTTAAAGAGGCCGCGGCGAAAAGCAGTGTTTTTCACACCCGTCGTGGGTCGGATGTTTCGCTTGATCTCCCGCCATGGATTTTCAGTCCACATTATATTATCTTTTTTAAAGCACTCTGTGGACACATTTAAAAGGCTCCAATACCATAAAATAATTTTAGGCGTTTTGCTTTTTTTCTGTAAAAATGTCAAAAACGCCCCCTTGGTCAATTGTTGACGAACTTTGACAATTAATTACTGGCGATCTACTTGGGTTACATCAATACTTTTTATGTCCACGGAAAGCCCAAAACACGTTCTTTATATGTATTATAAAATAAGTTGGCTGTATAAAATATTCTTTGCGGTACGTTTACGTTAATGTTATGTGAAAACCAAAAAGTACCATTTTTGAAATTGATTTTCTCAAAAAACCCATTTTGTATTTTTTTTATTTTTTGTTAAAATGTAGATGTGATAGTTTTCTATGCGAAAATCAAGTCTAGAAAGTGTATATTTTGTTTGTATGTTTTATATTTAAGCATCAATATCGTACAAAAACATGTTTTTACGGCACGAAATGGACTTACGATTTGCGCGTCTTCACAAGCTTGGAGATAGCTTTTTTTATTTTTTTCAACGTTCCCACATAAAAATGAAATACAGTATTTCCACCCTGTTATATTTATTGATTATTTAAATTTTATTATAGGCGGCAAGCTACATTGGGAGGAGTTCTAAAAAGAGAAAGCAACACTTCTTAACAGACCAGCAGGTGTCGTAAATTTTAACGTGTAGGAGTCGGCAGACGTCGCATTGATTCGGGGCCCTCATTGGCCTGCATGAACGTCCGCCCCTTCGGAGCCAGCAGATGACCACGACCTTTCGCGCTCGTTGTGTTAGATGGGACGGCCCGTGACAGTAAAGCGTGCAGCGCACCCTGTGTCACGAGGAGTGAAATGGTACGATTAAGTCGTTGACGCGGCGAACAGTGACAGCCACCCAGGAGGAGTCAGTCAGAGTATTGCACAAGGGAAAGCAAAGGAATCGTTGCCTGAAAGGATGAGGACACCATGGCCTTACAATATCGACGGTCAACAACTGTTCTGCCAGCCAAAACAACGCCGCGTGCGCGCTAAAACCGGCGGCGCGGGACAGAAATCCCACAGCCGCACCCACGAAGATGGGCCGGTTTCGTTAGGGATGTGGGGAAATTTGAAACCAGCCATCCGTGTATGCGTGAAACGATACCGCCTGTTTGCCCCAGCTTCGAGCGCCCTATCCTTACCTTGAAACGGCCGTGCTGTCTCTTTCTCTCCGGGGAGATCCGATAGCACCAAAGGGTTATCTATTAAACTTGAGGAAGAAAACGAGAAGGGGCTGTTTAAGTTTAATTATCCCCACCAACCCGCTCATTCTGTCCTTATAAAGGGCTATCTCTTTTGGAAACGGCAAAGCCCGGAGACTGACATTAAAACGAGCGTGTTGGTAAATATACTTGTGTTTGTATTTTGCCCGGAGACTAGTTGGGTCGAAGTCAGCCTCCTTGTCAACTATAACCGTTTGTGAAAAGTGAGCTTCTCCCGAGATGAAAAGTCAGCGCCGGCTGACGTGCTCTTTTGAAAAAGGGATGGGGAAAGAGAAAGTTTGAGTAACTGCAGAAACTACCTCGAAAGCTCCTCTCCCGATATGAAGCTTCAGGCATAGTCTCGGTAACTTTCTCGCGCATCGCCTGCTCGAATCTATTCTTCACTTTCTTTCGCACAGCCACTGTTCCTCACAGCCGTCGTGGATGTGCGTAACAGAGGGAAAAACAGATTCGAGCATCATCTGGACGCCGTCATTCTGCCAGACTTCAGTGTCGTGGGACCGACTCGTGTGTGTTTCTTCGCCCCGCTGAACTTAGTTTCTCGGGTGCATTTTTGAACGTTTTTTTTTTTTTTTTTTCAATGTTTTCTTACTAACTGTTTGTTAGCACTGTTCAGTTGTTGGGTTTATTTTGTCATGGCGTAGCGGCCTAGGCGGTGATGTAGAGAGCGTGTTCGCACGCATTTGGTTGCGTCCCATTTAGGGAATGCCCGGAGGAGTTGGTTTATCTTCTCGCCATGTGCGGCTGAGTTTTCCCGTCTTTATTAAATTATTGATTTCTTTTTTTTTGTTTTACCTTTACGTGCCGTCGACTTCTTTGTCTGACTCTCCACCAGGCGTGGACCTATCGTCTTGCCACCACTCCAACCTAAATACTTTATTTTTTTAACGCAATTTTCGTTGAGATCGCAGTTGGGCAATTTAATTCCTATTTATTTATTTTTATTTCCTACCCCTCCCCATGACACACTCTCTGTGTGTTTCGGACCGTTTCTGTGTCACCACTTTTGTGTATTACGGAAGTGAAAGGACATTCCCTGGTGACCTGTGCGATGTGCGGTGAACAAGCCCCAGTGTTTGGTTTCGTAGAGAATTGTATATAATATATCGACGATGTGGTGACTTTCTTTGTCTTAGTGATATGACATCTAATAGCTAGTCGTGCTAGTTTACTGTGAAAGGTTTATAAATCGAAACAATACAACGTCTGTGCCTTTTGGTTACTCAAAGTCTACTAGGCCTGCTGATTTGGTTAGATATGTATCTCGTGGTTTCCGCTCTTATCAAAACATACATAAATATTCAATACCACAAAATTCGTTTATAATTGATTACAAAATGCAGAAGAAAATTCAAGAAAACTTTTTCACAATTCATAGAGACGCATGGGTCGGAATGTCTGACTTGGGTCTTGCAAAACAAAGACGTTTTTTTCCGATATTGAGGCCTAAATATAAAACATACAAACAAAATATACACTTTCTAGACCTGATTTTCGCGTAGAAAACTATCACATCTACATTTTAACAAAAAATAAAAAAAATAAAAAATGGGTTTTTTGAGAAAATCAGTTTCAAAAATGGTACTTTGTGGTTTTCACATAACATTAACGTAAACGTACCGCAAAGAATATTTTATACAGCCAAGTCATTTTATAATACATATAAAGAACGTGTTTTGGGCTCTCCGTGGACATAAAAAGTATTGATGTAACTCAAGTAGATCGCCAGTAATTAATTGTCAAAGTTCGTCAACAATTGACCGAGGGGGCGTTTTTGACATTTTTACAGAAAAAAAGCAAAACGCCTAAAATTATTTTATGGTATTGGAGCGTTTTAAATGTGTCCACAGAGTGCTTTAAAAAAGATAATATAATGTGGACTGAAAATCCACGGCGGGAGATCAAGCGAAACATCCGACCCACGACGGGTGTGAAAAACACTGCTTTTCGCCGCGGCCTCTTTAAAAATTCATAAGTCGCGAACAAAAAATCCGACGAACTTGCGGTCTGCGGCGACTGCGTTTTTAAAAACGGCGCCATAACATATATTTTTTTCATCGAAATTAAAAATTCGACCCTTTTTGCCTGCACGATTTGAGATGAAACCACCCATATATATATATATGCCTTTCCTTCGAAGGGGGCATTTGTGGCGTGGGAAGCACAATCGTCAGTGCGCGGAATTGCGCGCTGCTGGGGCTGGGACTCGAGACTCAGATAGCGCATGCTGATGTGGATCTCGATCAGGAAACAACCGGCATTTGTCTTCTTTTTGAAGCGGCCAAAAACACCTTCACATTATGTATACATCTATATATTCCTAGATTGCGGAAATATTGGAGGTGTAGAAAATCAAAAATACAGTGGCCCAATTTTTTAATATTATCAAGCGAGCGTCACCGCTTGGAGGGCCAGCGCTGTGCCGCGGAGTAATGCTGCGTCACGGGAGAGATTAGGCGTGTGCGCACAAAGCTCTTTTTTTTTTGCGAGCGTCGTTTGCTAGGCTATTCCATTGACCGCACACAGTCCCTGTTCATTATCTGCTGGCATAGCTAACAGCCTTTAAGCAAAGATCTGAACAACGCTTGCTTTTATTTTCTCGGTGTTTCGATACTTCTCAGGCGTTTCATAAAGCACGCGTCATCTCGAGTTTTATTTTTTTTTGTAACTTCACGTTGTCGTTTACTTTGGAGAACACCTACAAAACTACAAAAAAAAAATACGGTGACGCGACAAACAGAATGAAATGATGCATGAAAACATATACCGCATTCAATCCTATGAGCCATCAATCCAATCCAGTGATTTAACCCTGCCACGTGACATCGTGCTTTCAAGTGCAGTTGTGCCCAACGGGAAGGCCACGTGACACACATTTAGCGACGGACTGGCCAAGATGGCTCGAAGTGTCGGCTGTGGTACAACACGAAGTAAAACGGAGTACAGACAGTGTTTCGGCTCGGTGTTTTGTATTATCAACCGCGTTGTTGTTGTCGTCATCTAGCCTATGTAGCCGGGTAGTCACACGGTCACACGTTTCTTTGACCGGCGGGCGCGCGCACATTTTTCTGCCTCCTCGAGTGCCTTTAGAAACAGGGGAACTTGTCGATGGGTGGCATGACGCAAAGGAATATAGCAAAAACAGTCGGGGTTACACAGGCTAACGTCAACAGGATTATGAACGCATTCTAAGAGGAGGGGCGTATCGGCGATGCACTTCGACATTGCAAGCGCCCTGCCCTCCTTTGGTACGGTGCAGGGGCTGTGTGCGATCGCCGAATAGCCTAACAGACGACGCTCCCACCAGAAAGGGCTTTGTGCCCACGCGCTTAATCTCTCCCGTATCGCCGCACGCCTCCGCGGCACGGCGCTGGCCGTCCCGGCGGTCGACGCTCGCTTGATATTAAAAAATTGGGCCACTTTACATAGAAATGCCCCCCCCCCCCCAAAAAAAAAACAAAAAAAATTAAGATCTACGAAAATTCGAGTCACCCCAAAAAAAAAAAACTATAATATTAATGACACAGTCATAAATAAAACAGCGGAAGATTTAAGAATCAGTAAAATACATCATGTGATGCGTAAATGCCGACTAAAAGATATTCTCTCAGTTCGACCTTACGGGAAACAATAATTATAACAATTACAGTGAGACTGAAATGGGACCCTGTATTTTGTAAGATCACATAGTCTCGCAAAAAAATGAATATGTTTGGACTTCTTCATGGCGCTATCTTCATTTACAATTCATTAAAAATATTCGGCGGCTTGACAAACAGATCTATATTATTCAATAATATGTGAAAGTGTTATTTTTTTACGTGTGGTTTGGACATGTTTTTTTTTTTTTTTTGTAAAATAAGGGCACTTTGAACACACGCAACAAAAGAACAACATTTAGCGCAATATTTAGGTTGTGAGACGCCTTTCGAGTAAGGATCAATTCCGGAATATTCTTCTATATTCGCACTTTGCTCCGAAAAAAAAAAAGAAACGAATAAAAGCACAGGACAATACTCACGATGGGTTGCGGGTCCTATATTTTTATTAATTTTTTTTATCGTAGAAAGTGTTTTTATCACTTACTGTTGTATACAGCTACTTCAAAATACTATTTTAAAATTAGTTCAGTGTTCCTCTAAACAAGTACTAAAATCACAAAAAAAAAATTTAAGAGACTTCCATAGGAAAGGCGTATATGAAAGAATAGACTTCCCAAGGAAAATTAGCGGTATATTTACATTGAGTGACTAAACTCGAGCGCGCGTCGTGCTATTTCTGCGTTTACTTTGTGTCGAAGTGCCAATAGAGAAGGAAGTTACGGAATTGATCTTCACACAAGATCAGTCTGAAGATTTAAATATTGTGCTAATTTATGTTTTTTTTAGAACGTTTGGTCATCTTCTTTGTGCGTCATACGTTTGCATCCGGGAACTTGAAAACAATTTAAGGGAGTTCAGCGTCCCTCTAAGTGGTCATGAATTACGCTGAAACACTTTCGATGCCTTGTGTAAGAAACGAGAAAGAACATCCTTACATTAGGCGTTACGCTGATTATTTTTAGTTTATCCGAACAATATAGAGCTCTAAGAAAACAGTCAAATCCTGGGTGAGGGAAAAAAAATGAATCCCAGCGGTAATGACTCAAGGAGTAAAATGTACAGCATGTTCTGATCTGTGTTGAGTGTTACGGGCTCTGCTGACGACCGGAGTAATTAAAATTTTGCGTACTCACATCTCGCTAACTTTAGAGGATATTTTTCTCTGGCTACATTTAGCGGGCGAACTCCTATAGGTGTAAAGTTATACACTAATTTCGTTTTCTTACTAACATCAGTAGACGAGCACTTCCCCGATAAATTAAGACCGGAATCTGCTTAATCCAGCGTGTAACGTTCGGTTGTTGCATGTCTGCGCTGCACTTTTCTTTGCGCCATTTTGTCAATGCAACCCATGCCGAGAACATATTCTGCGCAATACTTATTCAGTCTAAAATATTTAAACATTTACTTTCCACGCAGTACGTGTGGGAGCCAATTGCTGTAAAAAGAGGAGGGACCTCGGCCAATGACGAGGCTGGAAATATGTCTAGACAAAAAAAGGAAAGCGTCTGCTCTCTGCACTCTAAAAAAAGTCTGTGCGTCTACCTTCACGCACAACATTCGGAGAGCCAATCACCGCAACTTGCAGAGGCAGCTCAGCAAATGACGATGCCGAAACATAAGTTTAGACCAAAAAACACAGTTTGAGTTATGACATTAAGCAATGCGAGCGTGACGTTTCGCATTGCTTAACATCACAACTCAGACTGCATTTTTTGGTCTAAACATATGTTTCATATGTTTTCTGCATCGTCATTCGCTGAGCTGCCACCGTAAGTTGTGGGTGATTGGCTGTCCAAGTGTTGTGCGTGAAAGTAGGCGCAAAGACATTTTTTAGAGTGTTGCACCGAGTATGGCGTTTCCCGGGGCTCAATGCTACAGCGCACACAGTTTGTTTAGGTCTGAACACATCTTAAAAGTCGTGACTGGTCGACCTGTTTCCGTAGTTTGCAGCGACTGGTTCCCCCAAGTGCCTCGTGGGGACGTCGAGGCTCCAGATTTTGTTTGTGAACAGCCTTATTCTCGGTGCTTTCCGTTCGCGACGTGACGGAATCGTCGTCTTTGTCAACCGCAGAACCAGACTGAGGTCAACGTCTACATTCCGGCCGGCGTGTGGTATGACGTGGACCGAGGGACTGCCTACTCAGCGACGTCCGGGCGTTATCAGGCATTCCCTGCGACCTTCAACGTTGTGAACACCCTGATCCGAGGTGGATCCATCGTTCCCGGTCATAAGCCGGCTCTTACAACAACCGAAAGGTGAGATGTCTAGATATCATGGCGGCCACCTCCTTCCGCACTACTAATGAGACAAAGGAGCAAGCTTACCTTGATGCTTAAAACACGAACTGTCGTTAGGGATATATTAGCAAATTTTAAAGTCGAAGAAAAATTGGTCTGTGCATCGGTGTCCTGAGCTGTACAAAATTCCTTAGAACTACGTCTGGATGGCGCAAGAAATAAGACGGGGACAAGATAAGAGAGGCCATGCCCTGTACACTCCTCTCATATGTGGTTCGTGGCAGCTGGAGATAGGTCCACTTACCCGTGCCTTATGACAATGGCGGGTGCGCAAGAAGTGAATACCTGTGACTCAGAGTCATGTAGAAGCAATTTTACATCGCCCCGCGTATATCATTCCGAGTCGCATATGCGGAATTACGTGCGAAGTAACTAGACGGGGGAAACCTGGGCTCGCTGTTGGACCGTTTAAGAGACACGATACGAAGTTGTTTTCGGGAAAGAGCACAGACGATTGAAAAGAGCCGGCGGCGTTTCCATAACGGACGCGACAGCATGTTCGCTGTGTCATTAGTGTACCGTGGTGCAAGGAGTGCATGGTAAAGCATGAGAGCTCCCATTTTCTTTGTTTACTTTGTTCCGTATTCAAAATAACTTCAAGTGTTACGTGCGTGCCCGTATTTTCTGTGACCAAGATTTTGTGACATTCCATGACCAAGTGTTTGTGACATCGACGTTCTTAGCTTTGTACCCACTTGCAAATTATTCTGACATGCGTGACGTCACGTCTCTGATAAGTTTTTATGACATCAACTTCCAAACTTTGTACCCCCTACCAAATTTCTTTTGACGTGCGTGACGTCACTGCGGTAACCAAGTTTTTGTGACATTCTCTGACCACGTTCTCGGGAGATTGATATCCCAACTTCGCACCCATCGTAAGTGCCGGGAAAGACGCAGTTCTACGCCAAACAGCTCAGGAGAAGACGTCTCAATTGAGAGGTCTTTTCCTGCGCCTTATTCATTCACTTTAAACTTTTTTTTTTCCCTCTTAACAGAGTTCAGGGTTTTAAACATCAAGAGGAACTACCACCAACTCCCCTGCGCACTTGCTATGTTTTCATTAGGCATGCTTGCGCTGCACGGGCTCGTAAAACTAGTTCAAAAATTGCCGCTCTCTGTACTGCTTACAGCGTTAAAAGGAGAGGTATGATTATCGTACGGGTTATAGCGGTCCCAAGAGTTTTGCTCATAAAGTGGCATTAACACGGGTGATGTTTTTTTGAGGAGGGAGTGAGCGAGACGTCAGTTGTCGGTGGAATCAGCGGAACGCCCTCCCCGACTCCAGCTTTACGCACGCGGCGGGGACCGGAGAAGGATTTCAATGTTACTAGACGCAGTAGCGGTCGCACGCTCGACCACAGGGCTCGGTGCGCGCTGACGAGAGTAGAAAAATGAATCCGCATATAAAACGGTGATACACGATTATGGCAACAACGCCGTTAAATGCTGAAAACGAGGAACTGTTTCCTGCTAAAAAAAAATGTTTCTTGAATGGGTGGATGCAACACAAAGAACGTCGAATCCAAAAAAAATATGTATATATCTAAGGGGCACCTTGAGGAAGGCATTGGTGCCTCGAACGACATGCGCACGAGCGCAAGCCGCCGCAATTAGGCGATCTCGATGACACCGCCGGTATCCCGCTGAGCAAAATCTGTAAAGTTGTCAAACAGGCGAACAAGCTCGAGTCCACTTGTGAAGAGATTCACGCCAAGGTGGGGATTGTTGTGTGCAGCCCGAGTGGTAGTCTCCTGTATACTGAAAATGCCTGCCCGATTGACGGTTGCCAGCTATCACAACAAGTGTGCCCTTTTCCGGACAACACAGAAACGTGAACGACGTTAACGACGTGAATGACGTGATGAAGCCTCTCTTGTGCGTTTCTGCTTTCTTCGTTCTGATTTTGGCATGGCGCTGTAGCTGCTGGTTGAACCTAGTTATTTAGTTAGTTTTTCCTTTTGCCACAGATTTTTCGACGTTTTAGGCAAACTTTCGAAAGAAGGACTCGGTGCTGTCATTTTACAAGACTTCAAACAAAAACACCAGAGATCTCACACGTGACAGTAGCTTTTTTGATAAAAGCCTGCGCACCAAATTCTATCTCCCGCTACTTAAAGGCGAGCAGTTGGCACCTTTTTGCCACGTACATTAGAAATACCGGTCTTGAAAGGCTTTCCTTAATTTCTGTTTGAGTTAAGCCTCAGCATTTTGCTGAGGTTTCACCCGAAGCCCAACTTGGTGTGATTGTCGCTATTTTCGAAACTGGATTTGCCCATGTCGTCCAGCAGCACCGAAAGAGTCCACGGACTCTTTCGGTGCTTTTTGACTGGCTGACCCGACCAGACATCTAACGCGCACCTCGAGGTTGTGACGAGCGCCTGAAGACAGGCACTGTACGTCATCACAATCGTGAGCTGAGGTACAGCTAACACCTTTCACAGTGCTTAGGAATTTTTGTTGTGGTTGTAACCCCGCAGGACCCTTGCCGTTGCAATTCCTCTTTACATTACTGTCTTCGCCTGTTTCTAGGCCTAGGCATTTCAAAGTTGTAAGTGTTCGCTGTTTTGACATTCTTTATTTAAGTTTACCTCCTCGTACACACAAACATATGTATTACCTTTTCGAAGCTACATTTGTTGCTGCATACCCGCTATCAAATATGCGTTCGGAAAGTGTTGGAATCACGGGCGTTGCAAGAGTAGCGGTGTGCTGCGGGCCAGCGAACAAGCATCGTATTTATTGTGACGCCCTTGGCGGCGGTTATGTGTAGCAAGTGAAAGAGCGCCAGTGCATGGGGAAACCAGAAATCGCTCAGGTGTGTTCAGTATATAGGAGGCTATGCACGAGCAAAAGCTCCCCCATTCTACTGAAATATCTACGCCCATTAAGCTTCGCTCAAAGGAGTGACGTTAGTACCACATGATGCGCAATTCAGAAAACAAAGGAAGAATGTTCTCCGTGTGAATACCCCTTAAAGCGTAACATAATGAGTATGGTTACATAACCCTGTCGATTAGACTCAAAGGAGAATATATGAACTTGCCTTAACGGAATTGACTTTACCTGAACCTTGGCAATCACACCAACGTAGCGTCTTAATGAAACCCCACATTTCAATTAACAACTTTTGCTTCTATTTTTCTTATGTCAGTCGACAGAACCCTTTTGTTTTGCTGGTTGCACCTGACCGCAAGGGCACTGCACGAGGACACCTGTTCTGGGACGATGGAGATTCAATCAGTACGTACTGCAACAGCAAATGTTTGCCGGTTGTTGTTTTGCTTGTTTATTCTTGCGATTGTATTTTTGTCGCATCTCTCGATGAGGCAAACCTTAATCATATGTTTCTACAGCGGAGCTGTTGAGGGCGAGTTCCCCCAGGATTGTGTCCGCGAGCAAAGAAATGATGACATTGAAATCCGGACAGCTAGCGCCATCTGTGAACCACGGTGGCAAAAAGACAACTTGTTGCCACCGACGCTCATAGATGACGGCACCCTTTCTTCGGGATGTACAGTACCTTCATACACACGCGCGCGTTTGCTTGAGCGGTGACATCTGAGCCATTTTTTCGTCCCAATCGTTTTTTTATGCAATTTTAAGTTCGCACAATCCGGTGTCACGCAGCTTGAGCGCCTAGTTTTGTCTAATGTATAGACGCCATGTTACCGCTCAAGTCACGCATCCAGAGCGCCGGAGCGTCACGTGCTGGCACCTTCAGGGTAACAATGGATGTCTTCACCCTGAGCAAGACAGACATGTAGGCACCCTACTCGGAGAAAGAAGAGTGGAAGGAGCGGCGATCTGCGCAGCAGCGCGAATGGTTTCGCAGCCGCCGCGAAGCCACTATTGACAAAAGTTCCACTGCATCCAGCGCTTCAGATTCCCTCGCCTGAAACGCAACCGCCGAGAACAGAAGCTACAACTTCGCTGCTCTTCCTCCTTCACCAGAGTGCAAACGCCGAAAGTTTTTTTTAGTTGGACTAAATTTGAAGACCCCGCCTTTGCTTCGGAATTCACATTGCAGCCTTAAGCTTCAGCGAGATGAACTCACTTTTTTTGGCATGGTATACTGGGAATGAGTTATTTAGATACCAAAACTTCCAAGGAACTTGTTGAATCATTAACTTGGCACGTCTTTGAGTAACATATAGTATAAACTGACTTTTTTAAGGTTTTAGTTTACATCTGAAAGGAATGGGCTACAGCAAGAAGAGCACATGGGAGGATATATACAATGTTTAATTTTGAATCTAAACAAATTGAAAAAATAAAAAAAAAAAACGTATCCGAAAGTTAGACGATTACCGTCTTTACCAAGCATTCTTAAGGCTCGGCGAACATTCAATAAAAAATAATAGCTATAGTAATTTGACTGATTAGGTCTTAGGGGGCATGTAGCAATAGCAGTATTGACAGCAATTACTGTTCGAGCCCAGAAGATTGTAATAATATGTAGAGATGTAATGGTTTTTGAGATGTTAATTCGTAAATATTCATGTGTGTTAGCCTGACTTTTCAAATTGCGATAAAAAAGGGCGTCGCAAGTCATGCCCACAATGACGATTAGAAGAGTGACGTAATCGTTCCAGTCATAACCTCGCTTGTGCCGTCTGTGTACCCATCAAGGACAGGCTGCCGAGATAGGGATAAGGTGGCTGAAAGGACTATGTCACTATTCTAAGCGTTACTGTAAGCTGGGCTAGGCGCAATTATTAAGTTGGGATAAAAAAAAAAAGCCAAAACTGAATAATTGATATCAGGAAAACCATGGCATTTTTGCTAATTCTTTGAATGGGTTTGAGCTCTAATACTAAATGCTGTCAGTACTGCTTTTACGTGAAGATTTCTGAAACTAAATTTTAAAAAGTAAAATACGGTATTTAGTCTATTAGCCTTTATACCATGACGGCAATTCCCTTATCTAACATCCGCCAAGCCTGAGAAATGCATGATAAAAACGGCACACGTCGAAATCTCATATTCTATTTCTTAATCTCTTCGAATTATAAGCAGACACCCTGTGTAATCAAACTAAATAAATAGGTTCGAAGTGTACTTATCGCTACTGTTTTTGGTCGTGCAAGCATTCTCTTACGCCATGCACTAATTTGGTTCTTGCAGTTCAAAACAATTATTTTTGTGTGCTTTGTAACTGCGTCATCTTTATTTGTAACAGTGCGATAAATTGAAATATTTGATATCTAAATAAGTTACCAAAATTATTGATTACATGTGAAAAATTCATTGCGGGTTTTCACGTTTACGTCCTATTATTGTTTCTTACACCTGCGACGATCAAATTCCAACATTCTTGCACAATTATGAGTGCGGGACTCGAGTAAGCAGAAACACAATTCAACCCGTAAATAAAGACCCTACGCCTTCCCAGCATGTAAAAATGAATGCTTAAAATGGAAAGAAATTATTCTCAATTGTCTTGACCTAAATTTATTCCAAAAATATTACTTACTTTTTCTCTGCTTGCGTTCTCAAATAATGACTGATATAAACAATTTTTAAGAATGAACAATAATGAGACGTGACATCTTTTCAGCCATGTGTAAATTGCCATCTTTAATACGCGTTATAAACAAAGAGTTCAATAAAAAATAGTTTAGTTCGTGCAGATTAATGCTGAGTACAGGGTTTGAAAGTAACAATATAAGCGGACAACACTGTTTTTAATGCTGACGGGTTTCCAGTATCCCGAAACGAACGCTTAGTACTCCTACTGCTTGCTACTTTTGGCAAAGTCTTTTTGTAGTGTAGGTTAGTCGTTTCTGTTTGAACCGGAAGATAATATTTGCTTCTAACTTGAATGTGCAGAGTCACCTTACCGCTTTGGAACGATTCTTGAAACCTTGCCTTATTGTAGCTGTTGTCCAGGCTATAGAGGCGTATTTATAAGATATTTGCTAAGATCAGTACAGGCTAAGATGTCTCATAACTGTTTTATGCCATTTCAGATACGATAGAAGACGATAAATACAACATTTATGAGTTCTTATTAGTAAAGGTAAGTCTGTACTTTGTGTCGATTTGGTTTTTCAAATCATTCGTTTTTCATTCTTTCTGAAACACGTCTCAGTTTTTTGTGTGATATATCTGAGCCCACAGAACTGCTTTTATCAGGTCATATTCACAATAAGAAAAGTTGAGATACATTCCATATACTTCACATCTATTACAATTGTTTCTTCGGAGCATTGGTGAACTTCGTAGCTATGCCCGAAGTTCAGAAATTACCGTAGTTTACATTGATAATTCTTTTCCACACTAATCAAACTAACATGACGAATACCTGTATCCTGCATATCATATTCCTCTGCTACGAAAGTTGTAGGCTTAGGAGAGAGCCTCATTAAAAAGAAAAAAATATACATGTACATGTATATGTCCATGTATATATGTACATGTATATACACATAAATCCAGAATATACATCCTTGATTTGATACTTTTCCTTAGATTGAGGCAGTTTATTTTGATCAGTTTTAGTGTTCGATATACGACCGAACGCAAGCGCTGTACGTTCGGGTTAGCGTTGCGTGTGCAGCACTGCGCGTGTGCGGAGCTCAAACTGCGGTCTTCAGTTGGCGTATGGCGACGACGTGTATGAGCAAGTGGAGAGTGCAAACTTCGTGATGAAACTGTTTGTATACTGCGTTTCAGCTTAACTCTAAGCGGGGCCAAAAGCTATTTGCATGAGACACAAATACACAGACTATAACGATATGTCACGATTCATTATTCACGCTTGATTGGATTGGCTAGAGATAAAGTCCTTCAATACTTATTTTACAAGTAACGACAACACTACCAATACAAATGACAAAGCACATTCCGCTAAAAAAAATAGCGGCATTTAGTTCAAACCTCTGCTGTGCGCCGCCATTCGCTTCCTAAAACCCGCACAGTCACGGTGTCGGCGCTTCAAAGAATGTCGCTACTTGTAGCAAGCTCTCATCTAAAGACTTTAGCTAGAGCCAACACGCGCCTAGAAACACAGTAAAAATATGCCGTGATCTAGCTCTTTCTGGGGAGCTTAAATTCACTCGTAGCGTTGGTGGCATTCGTACGTAAATTGAAATGAAGTACACTGAACGGTACAGTCGGCACTAAAACAACGTTAGCCCAACAGATCGATGGCGGTAGCGAATAAATTGCCAGACTTGGTGCTACGTTGTCGCGGACACACAAAACATTCAGAGTTCACAGATCGTTACCGCTTGTCAATCTCGGTGGCGCTTCCGCGGACAACTATCGTATCCCAACAAGTTTTTTCTTCTACATCGCCAATGTTATCGATGGTCACTGAAACTTAATAGTCTTGAAATACGTCTGATGACGGTAAAGCAATGAATAAAAGAGACAATATCTCTCCTGTCAACGAGCAAGCAACATGTGCACAGTCATGAGTGGCCGGCGGAAGCCTGAGGCAGAGCAGTGGAATGGTGAAAGCGAGCTTGGTTTCTGCTTGTTGACTTCCCAGATGTTACAAGGATAGCACACGCCAGGCAGTTTTAGCCCCGTTGTGTTGGCGTGACTACAGCATTAGGTGTCACCCCCTCGCCGGCTCGTCAATTGCTCCTTTGGGTTAATATTTTAATGAAAACTGTACGAGGTGCTCAAACTGTCCGACGACTTCGCTCAAACATAGAGTTGCACAGGCGAGAAGGAAACGACGAACTTACTTTACTCTCCTGAACCGCGGAGGCTATAGTTTTGCAGTTTGCCTTAAATGGTACGCTCCCCCTCTATTGTTACTTCTTCAAATGTTATGGTTACCACTACACATATATTCAGAGTGTAGCTCAAATCTATACAACCATACTTAGCCAAGTAAGGCAGTTCAACGGGATGAAACTTTGGCCTTGTATGGGCTTCAGGGACCCGAAAGCCCCAAAAACAGTGTAGCCAAAACTGATATTCTTTCTCCAGAGTTTGGAATTTTAACCCTAATCTACCAAATATATTGTTGAGTACAATAAGCTTCAATGCCTGGTCATCTTGCTGGCAACTGACTTCTTTGTTTTTCAGTTCCAAAGCAAATGCCAGAACTAGGTTTCCCTTCCGATTGTTTCTTGTGAACTTGCATCATCATAGCCTAAATCGACAAAAGGGTGCCAGAGAGGCGTAACTGTCCGGTTCGATTACTTTCTGGAATCTTTGAGGCTATATCTCAGATCAAAAGCAAGAATTATACTTCGTTGCTTGTTGTTCGGTTGTCATGTGACTTCGTTTGCTCATATTCTTCTCTTTAACAATAATCGTAAGAGACCACAAAACAGTCCAACTTAGCGTTCCTCTGGCTCGTAAGAACAAAATGAATGTACTTCGACACTAATTAACGCCTTTGAGG